GTGCAAGTCGATTCACTGCAAGCAGCACCTATAAACCTCTTATGGATTGTAGATGTAGCCCTTGAGCTGGCTGCCACTGCCATGCTCAACATAAATGATGCGACATCCATCCCAAACTCAGGAGCTCCAGGCGGGTGCTTTGACTTGGCTGTGGGTCAAAAATGTGCACCCCAAATGGAACCCTGGTAAGAGGAGAAGTATGGCCGAAACCTGGTCCCCTGGTGGTTTAATTTTGACCCATACCCACCTCAGCTCCCGGCCACGTCGACCGAGGAACGCGTTTCCCCGCCTGGATGGCCAGCTGCGCCAGAGCCTTTGCCCAGAGCACCTGAGAGCCCGACTCGCGGAACGAGGAAACCGACACACCGCCCACGCTTCTGAGACCTCAGAGCCAACGTTGGTTCGTTGGTTCGTTGGTTCGTTGGTTCGTTGGTTCGTTGGTTCGTTGGTTCGTTGATTGGTTGATTGGTTGGTTGAGTTGGGTTGGGTTGATTGGTTGGTTGGTTCCCAGAGCCGACTCACTTCCCACATTCCCAGTCCGGATGGGCACCATGTTTTTTTTTGCCGGGGCATCCCCTGGCTCGCCCCTACGCTGCGGCCTCGCTTCCTAGCATGCATCTCTCTCCCTCTCTCCCTGCAGCACCGTGCACGCATGAAAACCTGCACAACCACAGCCACGCAGAGCGAAGCAGCAGTGCTCCAGCACTACCATCCCAGAGGGAACCAAAGAAACCATCACGAATCTACATCTGCAAAGATCTTCACGAATACATGGGCAATTCGTCCCAACGGCGTAGCGACCTGCGCATAAGCATGGACTGCATATTGCACGCGAAATTCTTCTTCATTGACGCCCGTTACACGAAGCACTTTCACTGATATGGGTATGGGTGAAAATAAACCACCAGGGGACCGCAGGTGTTCGTCCTTGGTTCCATTTACCACGGCAACCCATTTTGGGTAATTCCTGTTGATGAACCCACAGCCATATGAAGCTACACCAGGTAGTACAAGGTATGCAACTCTGAAATTATCACGCGCCATTGACAACATAAGTGCCCACTACGCATCTCTCAAACGCTCAAGCCCACCGGTTTGCCATACCCAAGAAAACCATCCATCGTGCATGCATCACTAGAACACCCCAGAACTTGCTTGCTTGGACTACCCAACTGTGACTAGCACAGTCCGCCCATGCATGCAAACCCAAGTAGACGATGGCAGGCACCAGCCAAACACCAGCACAGGTTGCAAACCCTTGAAGAAAGGCGAGGATTAAGCACAGGAGGGGTCCTGCAAATATTTCGCACCGCTGCCCAAGTCATGTGCTCAACGAGCACTGAGGCGTGGAACAGCTATTTAGCATTGTTTCATCAACCCCTAACCTTGCCTCGCTTTGCCTCGCGGTGCCAAAGTGCTGTATGCCAAAAGCCCCTCTCCTTCTTGCTAGAGATAATTCCTTGACCCCTTGAATTATAACGGCAAAACAAGGAGGAAAAAAAAGCGAGGAAGACCAACGGCACATCCCCTGCCTGATGCAGCGCTTGCCAGTGGAGCTCGCCCCCAGCGCTGCGCCAGAGCGGCTGGCGAGGGGAAAAAGAAGCGAGCCAAGTGGATGTGCGATCTATCTATCTATCTATCGATCAATCTGTCTGTCTGTCTGCTTTTCTATCTATCTGTCTGTCTGTTTATCTATCTATCTATCTATCTCTATCTATCTATCTATCTATCTATCTATCTGTCTGTCTATCTATCTATCTATCTATCTATCTATCTATTGTTTGTTTGTTTGTTTGTTTGTTTGTGTGTTTGTTTGTTTGTTTGTTTGTTTGTTTGTTTGTTTGTTTGTTTGTTTGTTTGTTTGTTTGTTTGTTTGTTTGTTTGTTTGTTTGTTTGTTTGTTTGTTTGTTTGTTTGTTTGTTTGTTTGTTTGTTTGTTTGTTTGTGTTTGTTTGTTTGTTTTGTTTGTTTGTTTGTTTGTTTGTTTGTTTGTTTGTTTGTTTGTTTGTTTGTTTGTTTGTTTGGTTTGGTTTGGTTTGGTTTGGTTTGGTTTGGTTTGGTTTGGTTTGGCTTGGTTTGGTTTGGTTTGGTTTGTTTGTCTGTCCGAGTTTGCCTGTCACCTACTCACTCTAGAAAACAACGCGAGACTCCATACTTCCTGGCTGATGTACTTGAAATATCTCGCACCAGCTGGTTCTCTTTTGGTCCGCACAGGAGAAACCTCTGCTCAACTCAAGTTGAAGTCAGGTGCCAGCATTCACTTGACAACAGTAAGATTGGGAACCCATTCCCCCCAAAACACCCTTCTTGGGGAAACATTGCAAGTACAACCCACGTATAACTACTATGCAAAGGGTGTGCATTGTCTACTGGGATTTGTGGTTTGGGGGTAGTGGTGCCCCCATCTTAACAAGATAAAGCTCTTAAGTTCCTTGGCTTGCCTAGTTGCACCAGCGTTCTGTGCCAAGCATGGCTGACAAGAACACTGTTGTCTTTTTTTCTCGGGGGGGGGGGGGGTTGGGGAGGAGCCTTCTCAAAAGGAACAACTACAATTCTAGGTCCTAAGTTTGAGACAAACCCCATATCTTGTGATTCAAGATGTTAGCCAATTTCACCCAGCCGAACAGCATGCCCGTGCACGCCAGAATGCATACGGCCTTAAACAGGTCAGGACATGAACTCGAAGGCTGCATGCCGTTGCCGGTGCGAGCGAGAAGGCCAAGGGTCGGATGCAGGGATTGGTAGGGGCAAGCCAGGGCAAAAGGAGAAACCAGGAAGACAAAACGCCGGGGTGCGACGCGGCGGGGCAGCTCTGAAGCGGGGGGGGGGAGGACAAGATTTGCTTCTGACCTCTACGTAGTCTGGCAGTCTAGCTCCGAAGCCAGATCGGATGTGCCTTTTCTGCATTCCGCCACTTCCACTTTGCTGGTACTCTTTCAATTTCCTACAGGGGTGAATCCAAACTAATCCATTTTCTAGAGCAAACAAATTGACATGGTTTTCTTTGCATCATGATTATTATTGCACGTGCTGCATCTATATTACGCAGGTCCTTCTTCTGGTTTGGTCACAAAGGTACAATGCACTGACAGGCGCGGCCGGCCCTCCTCAAACTGATTCCTTTCTGCACTCTAGTTTCTGGGTTGGCTTCAAAGGAAAGCCAAAAGGAAAACCCACCTTTTTGAGAGTCCCTCAAACCTGGATTGCCCTCAGATCCCCCTTCTCAAACTTTTAGTGGGTAGAATGGAGATCCCCATTCAACACCAAGAAGCTAAAAGGCTAAAAAGATGGCCGGGAGCCACCACGAAACGGCAATTCAGTTATCAAGTGAAACAGCCCACACCTTGTTGTTTCGGATTCGTGCGACGGGAGAGTCCCAAGAAACGAACACGCCCCAACCCGCTGGGCCCCAGCCCTCCCGCCATTTTTCGCCTCACTGGACCAGGTGGCCAGAGCCAGGTGCTCCCCAGCCAGGCGATGCAGCGACAGCAGCTCAGGCGCAGAGGCGCCTGGAGCTCGAGCACTCAGCTCCGGCGGGTTTTCAAAAGGCGCTCGGGAGGGGATTTTTGTTGGTCTTTCTGTAGGCAACCCCTTGTTTGGTTGGTTGGTTTTAAGGGGAAACCAAAAGGAGAACCCCTATTTTCTTTGTTTAAAAAAATGGTAGGGGGGGTCTTCCAAAACAAAAACACGCACCCATATAGAGTTTTCGATTTCAACTCTCCAACGAAGATCGTCCAGGAGCTAGTTGCTGCTTCTTGTTTGGGGCAATAAGGTTGTCAGCACGGCAGCTGCAAAGAGGATTCCTGCAATTCGAAGTGCTGGCATGATTCTTTGTCGTACTGCTCGCACTTAATATGCTCACTCGCCCAAAAGAGTCTGTGAAACAAAGGGCGACAATGACCAAGAATGGACGGCAAAAGCCGGACAGCACAAGATCAACAGCTCTCGGACTGACTCAAGTGAGCTCGGTGAGCTCGGCAGGGTGAGCAACTCAGGGCCATGAGGATGAAACTTGGAACATCTGACAAGATCAGCCCTGCTGCACTACAAAGCTGCAGTCCAAGGAGAAATGAAAATGTGCAAAGGAACCTTGCCCATGCATGGCAGACGACGTCTGTAGAAGATGATCCTACTTGAAAAGTAGTGCGGCACTACCCTCACCTGCAACTTGAAACGCCCCCTCCCCTGCAAGAAGGAAAAGCCAGCATCTTGGGCGTTGCTTGCTGCATTTCGTTCTCCCCCCCCCCTTCCACCTGTTGCCCGGTGCATTTTATTCCAACCTCAGCACCTCAGCACCTCGAAACCTGAGAACCTGAAAAAAACCTCCTGCCTTCCAGGCGCATCAGCTCGGCTCGTGCCAAGGTCAGCGCTGCCAGCGCCCGGCGGTCCGGCTTGAAGGCGCGCTCCGCGCTGTACCGCCCCCGCTGCAGCGCTACCCGCCTCGGGGGAAGAGACCTCCAAAATCTTCTCCGTGGTCGTTTTGTGGCTGCTGTTGATGTTTCTCCTGCACCTCACCCCTCCCCCCCCCTCCTCCCCAAAAGGAAATTCGCCCTCCGTTTTCGCCCGAGGCGCGCCAGCTCCAGGCCCGGCCAGCTGCAACGCAAGGCCACCCGCACCTCCGCAGCCGCCAGGTCGCATAAGAGGCCTCCGAGTCTTCCGAACGACTCACCCGAACGAATCGGTTCCTCCCCTCCCGGCCCGAAGGGAACGCTCCAAGTCTCCCCAAAAAACCGTTGAAAAATTAGCTTAAAGTGACTTCCTTAGCATGAGGCATGCCCTGGGAGTCTTTTATGAACCAACCAAGTTTATAAATAGGGTGCGGGCCCCTCCAAAAGTGGTCTGATTCCCCACTAAAGCCAGGGACACCCCCCTATTACTAGACTGGGGTTGATTCATATGGGGCCAACATTGAGCTTAAAGTCATCCCTCCAACAATATCCCGGCCCTGCCGTGAAGGAGGGACTGCCTGACAAGTACGAGTGAAAACCGCATGCAAGCACGAGCCGCAGTCGCGAACAACAGGTCATGCCAGCCCGAGAGAAAGAGAAAAAGACTCGGGCCGATGGAGCAGTTTTCTGGCAGCCTCCCCCTTCTTCTCGAACCTTTTCAGGGAAAGGGCTAAAGCCATCAGCCAAAAAAAAAGAAAAAGACAAAACAAGCCGGCTTTGGCGTCTGAAAAGCGGGGACGAACAAAACCTGGCGGAAGCACTGGGCCTTTGACACCCGCCGCGCGAAGGCCCCCAGCCTGCAAAGTCCACGAAGGCGTCGTGCGCAGTGCCCGCCTCAGCCTGGACTTGCCATTCCAGCAATGCGTGGGTCAGGGCGCGCCTGGCCGGATGCCCCTTTGAGCTCAACGAAACAACATCTCGGTAGCCTCCCCAACATGGCACCTAGGGGGTCTCTTGAGGAAATCGATCTTCCAGATGCCCTCCCAAAGTTGCTATGTCACTGGGAGGGCAGGGTTCCGTGATTTTGGCACGTGGCTCAAAAACGGCTCAAGGCAGCAGGCGGGCGTTACGTCTCCATCCAACCTAGTTCTCACCGGCCATGGCCGTCCAGGGCAACGTGGCAACGCCCTGGGGCAACCTCTCAATTTCCACTCCCGAAGGCCCCAACAGGCGTCCCTTGCGTAAGTGGCCTTTTGCAAAAATAGATGGCACTGGCAAATGGAACAAGACCCATCTTCACCAGCGAAACCCATCTATATTTTTAACCCAACTAACCTACAAAGGACACCTGTGGGCCCTGGCATCGCAGGTCGCTCCCCCAAACCGCGCAGGGCGCTCCCGCGAGCGACCTGCGATCCATCGCCTGCTCGCCCAAAGTCTCAAGTCCTGTGCTGAGCAGCTGCGACAGGGCAGGCCCTGCACAGTGGTCACGGCGGCCAAAGGCACCTGTGGAGGTGTGGGGGTGTGGCGGTGGGGGCGGTGGGGGGTAAGGGGGGTAAGGGGGGTGAGGGGGGTAAGGAGGGTAAGGGGGGTAAGGGGGGTAAGGGGGGTTAGGGGGGTAAGGGGGGTAAGGGGGGTAAGGGGGGTAAGGGGGGTAAGGGGGGTAAGGGGGGTAAGGGGGGTAAGGGGGGTAAGGGGGGTAAGGGGGTGGGGGGGTAAGGGGGTGGGGGCGGAGGCAGGGGGGTAGGGGGCGAAGGAAGGCCAAACACTCAAAAACCTCGCCAGAGGAATGCTGGGAATGCTGGGGATGCAGAGTGCAACAAAAGTGTTTCTCGATGTTTCCCAATTGTAAGCTCAAGGCCGGCGATTGGTTTCGCTCTCTCTGACACAGGGCGCGGGCAGAAAGTTGCCCGCCCTGCGGAATTGAGACAAAGTGCCAAGGGCAACTGCTGTCGAAAAGGGGAAACCCCCCCTTGCGACTGCCATAACCCCCGCCTCGCGACAAGTCTGGCCGCCATCTGCCCAAGACACTATGCAGGAGCCGTTCGCCTCACGTGGCAAAAAGCTGAGCAACACCTCAGCCGTGATTTGCACAACTAGACGACAAGAATAACAAGCACTCTTTGGGCCAAAAGAAGGGGCCAACGCCTGCCGACGTGACTTGAGAGAGCGTTGGCAACGCTTGCTCCCAGCAGAGGGTGGTGCTCCTCTCCCGTAGCAAATGCAAGGGATGAACAGTATCCGGCAATCCTTAGTTGGTTTGGATTTGGGATTTGAACCCCTGGCTCTTGAAGAGAGTAAATGGGACACCCCCTTTAAAATTACCAAACCACCGTGCACCAATATGAGCATAGTTGGCCTTTTGGAAAAATAGATGGACCTGCTAAATTGAAGAAACCCCACCTAAACCAGTGGAACCCATCTGTGTTTAGTCAAACTAACCCAAAAAGGACACCTATGAATATGGGAAGCCGGGTGACCGTAATTCACCAAAAAAAAAAAAAAACGAAACGCGAACACGCCTCGTCGATCCGCTCCAAGGTGGCCTCGTACTCAAAGCCATCCTCCGCCCAGGGCGCCAGCACGACATCACCTGCGGTCGGGATGTCGGGACCCGCTGCCTCGTGGGCGGAATGGCCGTGGTTGTCAAAACCGTTTTGGGATACCATTTTGGTTGGTAGGTGAATTTCCCACCCATTTTAGAACCTATTTTAGTGGTTGGATTGGGACGTTCATTGGGGGTACAGAATTTTGACCCATGGCAAAATAGATGGCAGAGCCTTTGTTTATAGCATCCAATGCATCAGAAATCCCATGTGGCCATGGGGCAGAACCTGTGGCTCCATTTGTGGATGAACATCCATTTGCCACCTATTTTGATGTTCACCAGGGGTACAGGGTTTTGACCGACAGCTATGTCAGCTTCATTTTGAGAACCATAAACTTCAATATACTTTGTCAACCTCAATGGCGTGCTGATCTTTCTTGCACGACCGCCTCAAACCACCTTGGCATCAGCAAAGCCGCTTTGCTGATGCTAATATTGCTCGGACATGCCAGTGGGTTTGGGCGTGGGTGTGCCAAAACGAGCGAAAGAAAAAGCCTCCCCCCCCCCCCCCCCCGCGGCCTGGGTGCAAGACCTGGGTCTGCTCGCAAACAGGCGCAGCACTGCGCAGAAGCAGGAGGCCCTCGGCCTCGCGTTGCACTTTGGAATTCCGAGACAGCGGTTGAGCCTGGGTGTGTCCCCCTTGGGAGAGTTATGACCATGCTAAGTGAGCTGTAACCAGGCAAACTGGCCACTTACCAAGTAAAATTACCCTGTACGTTCGGCCGGCGAACCCTGGCCATCATATTTCCCTGCCTTGCCCGTCTCAAATGTTGCCCCCACCCCCTCCCCCCACATCCATCCCTCCCTCACATGTGTCAAAATTGGGAACCCCCCCAAGAACAAAACGTTGGCTTCCTTTTCATGTCCCCTTCAAACAACCTGCAAAAGGGTAACTCCAAAAAACACATACCCATCTGAGAGGTTCTTCTCTATCTTCCTTGTCTTCATTTTTGTCTTCTTCACCTTCTTCCTCGAGAAGGTGGAGGAGGAGGAGGAGGAGGAGGAGGAGGAGGAGGAGGAATCAACCCCTTCCAACTTCACATCGGGGCTTGCTTTCTTGACGCTCCCCTTTTTCCAGCTTGGTTCGGGCAACCAAAGAGTTCACCCCTCAAAACCACCCAAAAAACGGCACGCTCGCAAAAAACACAAAGTCGGACAGGCCCGTTTGGACTACCCACTCCGCCGCGTCTCCCAAGCGTCTCGCGATGCGTCGAGGGGCGTTCCGTGCCGCCGCGCGCAGCAGCGGCGACTCGCAGCTCTCCGCCGCCCGCAGCCGCCGCAGCGCCTCCGCGGCTCGTCCCTGGCGCTGCAGACGGAGGCCTCGAGTCTCGAGTCGAGTCGCGTCGAAGCTCCAGGGGTTGCACTGGTTTAGGTGGGTTTCTGCCCCATTTTCCCAGGAAACCCATCTATTTTTCCAAATGGCCACCTATGTCAAGGATGTTGTGAGGGGGCTGCGGTTGTTCTAGGGGTACCTTCCATGTCCATTCTTTGCAGGGATCCGAATCTTTCTAAAAATCACCCAAAACCCTAAGGAAACAGCTGGTTTTTTGAAAAGAACGATGGTTGAAAAGAATGGAGAATCAACCCCCGCGCGCTTGCCGCGTCCCCCCCCCCTCCCCCCGAGGCTCCGGAGATTCTAATCGGTTTCCCCTTTTTGGCCTGCTGTTTTTTGAGCTTCAATGGAAACCGGCAAGTGAAGTGAGCAACCTTCCGGGGAAATAAGGTGACTGCCACAAGTGGTTCTTGCTTGCTCCGAATCTGTCACAGGTTGCAAATCCCCACTTTGCCACCGGAATTTGTGCACGGTTCCTTCAAACTGGTAGAACCCCCTCATGCTTAGCACGTACACAAACAAATACAACATGTTCGTTGCTGGGTATCCAACGCTTTCTTTTTGGCACCCCCCTCAAATCCCATGGCCCACTCCAAGCTCCAAGTCAGTGGGGCTTCCGATTCTGCCCTGCGCCCGTTTTTCCGCATGTTCTCACGCCTTCGTTCTTACACCCCCCGGCCTAATGAGAATCTAAGTTTCAGTTCCACAGTAGGTTTCCACTTGGTTGCCTTGAGCCCCCTACCTTTTCACCAACGTTTCCAGTGGAACCCTCTGCTTGTTTAGTCCCTTTGGTGTCGCCTTGTTCCTTGGCGCGCTCCAATTCATTCACCTTGGGTTTCAGAGAGGGGGTTGATTCCGACCCTCACAAATGCTTGATCTGTTGATGCCACAGTTGGAGCCACCATCACACCAGGTGTCCTCCATTTCCCTTTCTGGACCCCCCCAGAAGGAGGCGATCGCTTCAATTGGGTGTCCAGCAAAGATTGATCAACCTTTCGGGCAAGTCCGGGGACCCCTTTCTCCGACAAAGCCAAACTTCTAGGGGTACCTTCCCCATTCTTTCCAGGGATCCGAATCTTTCTAGAAAACCTCCGGAAACCCAGAAAAACGGATCCGGTTTTTGGAAATAATGATGGCTTTTTGAAGGAACAATTGTTTTTCTAGGGAAAACGGATCGGGTCTTTTGAAAAGAATGGTTGGAATCTACCCCTAGAACTTCCAGAAAACCTCGCCATGTGGGTGCCACATGCACTGGGTGCCTTCGTACAGCGCCTCGGAGCCGGCGCAGAAGGCCCGGCCTAAAAGGAGGCTGGCAAGCGAAACGATGCGCCCAGGGACATGTGCACACTGTGGGTCTGTGTGTTTTGCTTTCAGGGGGCCCCGCAAAAACCGTCTTGTTCCTTTTGGTTTCCCTTCCTAGCGACCCACACAAAACAAAACAAAGACGTAGCCTCAAAAACAAAAGACCCACCAATGCATACGCTCATTGCTCGCTCAGCCCGCCTCGCAAGGGGCGCATGGCGGCCGCTGCTGGCCGCATGGCGGCAAGCGCTGGCTCGGTGCGGCTCACTGGCTTTTCTTCAGGTCACCCATCTCTTTTCTGGAAGACCGTCGCACCTATCGGCCCCTCTCTGCCTATCCGAGCGTCTCCGCTCCAAGTTGTCCTCTCACGACTTTGAGACAAGCCCGTCAGAACAGCCAGTGCCCTGCGCGGGGCCCCCTGAGCCACGCCGCGCGGCTGGCTAGGCCCTGGAATCCGCCCGGCCGAGGCCGTGACTGATCAGATCCTTCCTCATAGGAGGGGTTCTCCAAAAAACAAAAGCAACAAAGCTCCAAGTTGCACCATGCAGTGGTTCAGATTGCCTCCCGCGCCAAAGGGGCCCAACGACAAATCCCGAAGGACAAATCTGCATCAACTTGTTGAGAGAGTTGCCGTCGAAGATGCTGTTGCTGAACAATCGGAAGCGAGTGCCGACAAACCATCTCAAGCCTCCTGTCCACATCCATCAACATGCCGTGAAACCTCCATTAAGAATACAACAAAGAGTCTCTGTCCCCTCTGAGAAAAGAAGGAACAAAACATTCATCGTCCCACCTCAAAAAAAAAGAAGGAAGAAAAAAGGAGGAAAAACATGAAGAAAAGATACCAGGAAAAAAAAAACTCCGGAGAAGACCTGTCTGCCCACTCTGCTTCCACGAGCCTTCCAAATCCGGTGTCAGCCGTCAGGGCTCGCTCGGCGACGGATTTTTTGAGCCCACTGGGACCCCCCGCAGGCGGCCAGCTCCCAGCAGTGCGGAGGCCAGAAGTCCTGCCGGCCACGGATCGAGCGCCAGGCGCGGATCGAGCCATGTGGCTTGGCTTGGCTTGGACCGGGCTGTGGCGAATTGAAAAACAAACGGGAGAACTCCAATTATGGGTTACCCTGGTAAGTGGAAACATGGGCCAAAACCTGCGGTTTGCCCCTCCTGTTTAATTTTTGAGCCACACCGGTTGCTTGGATGGTGGGTTGGATGGTGAATCAGAAAAAGGACAAAACTGCCAGTGCCCATGTACATGCCTTCTCCAGGCCATCTGGGCACTCCAACGCAAGGAGTGATATGCTCCATCTGGTGGGCCTTTCGCGCCTCGAGTGTGAAACATTCGGGTTTTTTGCCGGGCTAGCACTGAGCGGCCCTCGTTTCACCCTGGCGGCTTTTCCCGTGATCAAGGAAAGCCCATCAGATCTAACCAAACATTTCCATCAGCCTTGGGGGGGCACCGAGGGTCCAGGGGGCGGTCAGCCCGCGTCCGCTGCCCCAAGCCAAACCCAGCGCCGAATCGTCGCCTTCGGCCCTTGCCGCGCCCTCAGCAGGCCCAGCGCGTCGAGGGCCTCAGCATCGGGTCTCATGGCTCAGAATCGCCTTGGCTGGAACCCCTCGGCAAGTGATTCCATTTTGCGGGGTCCAATATGGAAAATCCGAGCTGTTTCCGCCAAAAAGTTGAACTCCGCAAGTCCAACCGTAAATAGCCGCGACCAAAACGAAACGCCTCGGGTCCCGAAGGCGCGAAGCTGCAGGTCAGAGGCGATGAGTTCAATCCATGGCTTGAGATAATTTCGTGCGGCCTCCGGGAAAATCGGAACAGGCGGTGCCACAAGCAAGCGACGGGCGACGCACAGGTCATGCCCTGATGTGCCCATGACACAGATTGCAAGCGATTCAACCGAAACGGGGCCTGCCTGACCACCCATGTGCGACGTTTCGGGGGTCCAGTGCAGTTGGGCAGCACACGTCGAAGCCCAGAGTTGGCATTTGATGTGACATCCGCGAATCCTTGCTTGCAAGGCCTTTGGCCTGAAGCAGTTGCAGGCTACCAGGGATCCCTTTTTCTTTTTACATACCCTGTGTCCCTTCTTCCCTTGCTTCAAGAGGGCGTGCAGCACGAGACCTTTTCTGCATCGACACAATCCTACTGTACAAGGGGCCGGCGAAGCAGTTGCAACCTCCCAAGCCATCTACCCTCCTCTCCTCTAACATGGAACCTGGCTGGGGCCTCCTGGCAGACAATTGTCCTTTAAAATGGACACTTGGTGGGTTCCATGGTAATGGAGAGGAGGATATCCAAAAGCCCTTTGGCTACACCGCTGCCCCCTCTTGGGGCTTGCGTTGAACGTTCCGCTGGTGCCTCCAACTCTGCCCGGGCCTTTGGCGGGGCAACGCCGGTGACGCGTTTGGCCAACCTGTGCGTCCTGGTCGAAGCAGCCGACTGCACGCTTGAAGTAGCTATGGGCCGCACACACACACACACACACACACACATCTGTTGAAGAACATGCAAAACATGGAGGGCAATCGTATCGTGTAGTCCTTCAACCTTAGCTGGCGACAGACTTGCGACTTGCCATTCATTCATGATATAGAGACTGTTGGAAGAGAATTCGACACGCCGGTCATACACCTGTGCCTTGATAGCCAACATGATTTACCAGCCCAGAGTTATCCCTTTGCGAGGGACTGTTTGCCACTGAGGTTGACCTCGGCCAATACAGTGCAAGGAGGGCTGGTGAGCCAAGGGCAGCCCTGTCGCTGTTGTCCAGCTTCCCTCTACCCTCCCATCCTGCAGAGGCTCCAGTTTCAAATGGTCTTCCAGGAACATGTAAGTGGAGGGCAAGTGGTGGTTCGGGTTAGTAGTTTGGAGGTCCGGAGCTGGTTTCACAATATCAAACGGCTGCAACGGTAGGGCCTTGGGGATCTTTTGCACGTATCCGAGTATACTGGTAGCGGGGCCTTCTTGAATACATGGAAAGCCTCTCCAAAGGCTACATTGCATGAAAAGCACGCCTGCTGCGTCATGGCAAAGTGATTTAGTGATCTGTTTCCGCACCTGAACTGCAGGCAGGTGAATCCCGCAGGTGAGTCGGATGCCATGCGAGGTTTCGGGGCAGAGTCGGATTGGCCTTATCGCTTTCCAGCGGATTGCAGAAGCCAACTCAAGAAGACCCCGTTGGAACCCCACCAAATCTAGTCAACCCCTACAAGGCCCCCCGTCCCCCCCTCCAGAGGACACACACTCACCTTGAGATTGCTTCGCGGATTGCGGAAGCCCACGAGAAAAAACCTTTGAAACCCATCTATTTCTAATCAACTCATACAAGGCCCCCCATCCCCCCCTCAGATTGCGGAAGCCAACTAGAAACAACCTTTGAAACCATCTATTTCTGATCAACCCCTAGAGGGAGAACGTTTCAACCCCCCCACCCCCTGGGACCCATCCGTCTCCTTGACAGAAAGTCAGGCACCTTCCGGGCAAAGGGACCGCTCGTCCAAAACCTCCAGGGGCGCGGCGCAGCGAAAGCCCAGGCACCGGCCTTTGGCTTCAGGGACGCGGCCCCTCCTGGCGCTGGAGGCGTGGGTCGACCTCTGTTTCTTTTGTTCCTCTTTTTCTTCCTCGGAACCTTCCCCTTCCACCAGGTGCTTTTTTTTTCGTTTTTCTTTTCCTGATCCTTTACCCTCCAGTCCTTCTCTCCTGGAACCTGACCTTCGGGGGGGGGTCCTGGTTGTTTCACCATGTTCCTTTTGAAGGGACCGGGTTGTGAACCATGTTGTTTGGTGGAAGAGCACCCTTCAGACGAATTAACATTTGAAGAGGACATTGATCTTCCAGACACAGAAATGCTGGCAGAAGGAGGATACCAAATATTCCTCGAAAAATGGAAAGCGCACGTGGTGAGAGTTCGGCAGCCCAAGAACATGCGGCGCAATCAATTGCTAAGCATGTTCGCACGTGGTTAACCCAGCAACTCACAGCCGAATTCTTGGCTGTGGGCCTGGAACTGCTTCGGGCCAGTGAGGAGTCGCCCACCCAGCTGCCCCCACGCTCGCTTCGGTAGGGACCCTCCGCGGAATTCCAAGCTTCACCCGCCTGAGCGGGGGGCGGGGGGCGGAAAACCATGGTTTTTTTTTGAGGGAGCCATGGCTGTCTTCGGAGTGGTGCTCAAAACAAAAACAAAAACCAAAAACGAATGCCATCTTGCGGGGCCACTTGCAACAGGGGGAGAAAAAAATCCGGCCGCGTCGCCTTTCCAAAAATGAAGAACACTTGCCTCGCCATCTGAGTTTGTAGAAGCCCCCAGCCATAGGGCCCGGTGGATGCCCTCCAGACAGGACAAGTACATATACATCTGCAAAATATATATATATATATATATATCTCTCTCTCGGTATATATATATATACATATGTATTGTTGTTTTCACATGTTTATATACATGTTTGTGGGCGTGGTACTTTGCTAGTGGGGGACCAAGAGCTCAGCCCAAACACATACCCTCCTAGCAACAATCATGGAAGCTAAGGAGGAGGTTTTTTGGACGACTGCTTTCCTTTTGGAGAGGCAGCCCCTGTCCACTTCCATGTTGTGAGGGCAACCAAGCTGTGAGTCTTGCAGCGTGCCTGCTTTGAGCGGTAGAAGTCGGGGTCGTAAGTGTCACGGCACCACTGCCAAATGTTCCCGGCCATGCCACGTAGCCCGAAAGGCGACAGTCCCAGGAGCTTGTTCACCGGCTCCAGCGGCAGCTCTTGGACTCTCTCTGGTGCCGGCATCTCATCCCAGGAGACCTGAGACGGTCACAAACAAACTTCCACGCACCTTGGAAGGCATGGCTCACAACAAGATCCCAGGGCCCAATCACCCACCAGCGCCCTAAGACAACTGCCCGCACCATCCCTTCCATCCGGGCCACATTCAGCTGCCCCGGCTCGGCCCCACTGCCCCAGGGGAAGTCCCGAAACTCGCTGCCCCGCGCAGCGTACTCCCACTGAGCCTCCGTAGGCAGAAAGCCTTCGGACTTGTAGTTGGCCCAGTCCCTGCCATGGGCCCAGAGCCCATAAGCGTTGGCGCCGTACCAGGACACCTCACATCTCCCGTCGCGTCGCGCGTCGCGCGCTGCCCAGGAGCCCCACGCCGCATGGCGTGATTTGGCTGAACACCCTGGATGAAGCCCTAACTATCAAACCCAACGACGAAACAACAATGTCAGCTACATCTGTGCGCCGGCCTCGTTTTCCCTACCAAGAAATAAAAGGAGCACTGGGCCTAACCCAATGCACACCTGACGAGAAACGCCAACCCTGGACTTGCCCCCTTCACACAGGTGGCCGTTTGGAAAATAGATGGGTTTCCCATGGGTTTCCCTGGTAAATGGAAGAACCCCACACCACTTCACCAGCGGAACCCATCTATTTTTCGTCAAACTAACCCAAAAAGGACACCCAATTGCCCGTTCGGTTCCGGCCCAGCTGCTAGGATCATGGGCCAGCTCAGCGGAACCCCCATCTTCGCCTCCCAGCCGCCGTTCGCCGCGGCCTGCAGCGGCACAAAGCCGTGCCGCTTGTCGGTCGGTGGCAGCAGGCACCAGTCCGACAGCTCCGTGGGGCCCGGCCGCGCGAGGTTCAGAAACCGCACCTCAGCGATGGCGCTGGCTGCAAATGCACAAAGCGCCAGAGCGGCGACTGAAGGGGCAGCTAGAGATCTTGAGAAAGGAAGCAAGGCGCTGTGGCAGCCGCTGGGCCGCAAGTTTCTGAAGCATTCTTTGCCCAAGTTTGCACCATGCGGACGTTTCAAGGAGAGCGGCTGCGTCAACCTCCCTGCAGCCGAGGGCGCAAAGGCCCCCACGCTCACAGGCTCCACGTCCACGAGGAAGCTGTCCAGCCGCACCACGTGCATGGGCTGCTCGTTCTCCCGAGCCAGGCCGGTGGCGTCGCAGCCGATTTGCGCCGTGGCCGCCGGGAGGAGCACACACTCCATGCCGTCCCTGTTCCTGGGGTCATTATGTTGACCGTTTCTAGGGTTTATCAAAGTCAGAAAATGGGGTTGTGTCCCTATAACCCATCACTTAGGGGATGACTTTGATCATGACAAATTAGTGAGGCCAGTGTTCCGCACGAAGCGATCCGCGAAGTCCGTCTCAGAGTAGACCCGCGCACAGTCCACCGGCGCGGGTCGGGTAAACATGGTCAGCTGAGTGAAGGCGGCAGAGGCCGCTGCAGGGTGTGATTGCGGATTCTGCTGATCGGCTGGAGGGCTCACAGATCGCAGGGGGAAGGGGCCCCTGTCAATGATGGCCTGCGTGAGCTTCTCAATGGTGGGGGAGTCAAACAGCGTTGTCGGGGGTATGGCGACGTCTGGGAACATTTGCCTCAATCCAGAGGTCACCTGCGGAGGCGAGGAAAGACAACAGGCACCCGTTCTTGTATTGATAAGAGGCACAAGACCCTGGTCGGCCCAGGCAAGTGAACGTCTAGAAGCGACCAAAACATGGCCGTTGAGCCCACCAAGTGTGGCCAACCAACATGGGCATTTTCATCTTGGCCGATTTTGGTCTTCTGTTGGGCTCTTTGGGCATAAGAACCCGCCCCCCCCCCCCACCCACCCGAACCTTCGAACCCCCAACCCCCCAACCCCCCCAAACCCCCAAACCCCCAAACCCCCCCCCCAACCCCCTTAACCCCTTAACCCCGACCCGCCGCACAGCCGAACAACCCCCGACCACACCGAAAAAAAACTCCGCCGCAAAAAGCCGCCCGCCGCCACCACGAAGAGCGAGTCCAGGAAAGTCATCATGTCCGCCGCCGGCGGCAGCTCCAGGGCCGGGGACATGGGGTCGAAGGCCTCCCAGCGCGGCACCTTGAAGCTGACGTAGCCGTTCACCACGAAGGACACCTCACGGCCCACGGTTTTTCAAACGCCTGCACCAAGCGCATCCGAAAAGCGAGGAAGCAAGCAAGCCCTGTTTGCCTGCCGGTTTTGCAGGCCAGGCCAAGCAATGCTGCGGCGACCAACTTACTCACCCATGAACATACCGATCGATCCAATCAAGACAAAACAAATCAATTCAATTCACTGGAACAAATCAAGTCAAAACAAACCAAATAGACAAATGAACAAACGAACGAACAAACGAACGAATGAATCAATAGACAAATCAAGCCCACCAACCCACCAACCAAAACGGTGCAGAGGAGTCTCCTTTGGGGGACCCTTCTTGGGGTTTCATCTTCGGGACGGGTCAAATCCCCACGGCGAGGCGACATGGGAACGATCCGCTCGCTGCACAAAATGAAAGACCTATGAAAAGGTTGCCAATTTCTACGAGCTTGAAAAAGTTGGTAGGTGGCCTGAGTTTGAAAATGATTCGGGCTTGTTCGACCTGGGCTCCCCAAACCCCCTCCAGCGCCTTGCGCAGCACGGCCGCAAAGTCCTCCGTGGCACACTCCATGGCAGGCTCAGCACTGCTGATGCGTACGTCTGTATGTAGGTCTGTTCGCGTTTGTTTACATATATAAATAGACATACACATTGATATGGATATGTATATAAGATATAGATAAAAGTATGCATGTCAAACATATATACATAGACATGCATATGTGTATATATATATATGTATGTATGTATGTATGTATGTATGTATGTATGTATGTATGTATGTATGTATGTATGTATGTATGCATGCATGCATGTATGCATGCATGTATGTATGTACGTATGTATGTGCGCATGTGTGTGTGTGTAAGCACGCGTGCGCGCACAAGTGTGACAATGACTTTTGGGTGTGCATTTCCATGGGAGCATGCATACGCATATGCACATGTGGCCGAATGTCTGCCGTGTGTCTGCGACAAGTACATACACCTGGCGCATCCACAGCCTCATGGGGATATAAAAACTTAAGGGTCTCCGGATGACTCTTTAGGGGAACCCTCCAGAATGGCTGTGGTCCGCCTGTTAGTTCAAAAGGCAAAAGAAGAACGAGCACGCTTTCAAATAATGACCCACCGTTGGATGTCGCAAGCAAGGGCCGGCCTATGTGCGAGTGTCTGTTTTACGGCAAGCCCTTTCTTGCAATCTGCTTGGGTGCAATGGCAGATCTTATTTCCTGGATTGCCGGATAAAAAAGTTCTGCCATTTCCGGGCTGGCAATCGAAACGCATCAAGCAATCAAGCCCTAACAAGCCCCAAAAGAAACACTAGTAGAAGGCCTGGCCAAATTTCCGCAAAATGGCAGTCGTCCCACGAGCGAAGTTGTTTGGCCATAGTTGCACCATAGCAATTGAAGCAACTCAAGGCTAGCCTGTCAACAGGCTCCCTCAAGCTGTTGCGCGAAACCGTAAAACATGCGCGGCTTGTGCACATGAAACAGGTGGCACCCACAAAGAGCTCTTGCTTCAAAGGCATATAGCTGTAGCTCAAAACCGGCACCCGAAATGGAACTGGCAGCTGGAAACATGGACCAAAACCTGCGGTTGGCCCCAGCGGTTGAAATTCTGACGCCACATCCATTGCAAAAATGTCGTGGCGCACCCCTTTTTCGAGCTCGTGATCCGCCTGGCTCACCGACCTTTGCCCTTGCCCTTGAAGCCGGCGAAACGGCCCTGATTCCTCGGCGCGGGGGGAATCGGAGAGGCGTTGGTCGGAAGGAAACACCAAGGCGTCTGCGGCGACAGCCGCTGGCTGCACCAAGGGAAAGAAGAACAGTGGCTAGCAGCGCAACAATAGAAGACAGAACGCACAATAAACGTCAGAATGCAACCATACCACTAGGGGGATAGATCAAAAACACGCATCCTAAGTGGACCCAGAAGAATAAATGCACCCGGATCAAAATGAAATGAGGCTGAGTAAGTTCTAGGGGTGGGGGGGTGGGTCAGTTTTTGGGCTGTCCAAGGTTAGCTGGCAGGGTTGTTTCAGGGTTGTGTTAGTATTTAAGCTTTGTTCAGGCTTTGCTTAGGATCTATCTTTGGTGGGTCCGAAGGCTACGGTGAAAAAATAGCTTCCAAATAAGGGTGGATCTAAGGTTGGTCAAGGGTTCGAGTGCGGGCTTTGGGTTGTTCTAGGGTTTGTAGGGTAAGTTTCTGGAGTCGGTTAAGAGTGGGACTTGGATCAGTTTCGCTCGGTTTTGTGGTTGGAGGGTTGTGTTCAGAGTTATCTCTGCAGTGTGGTTTAGTGTTGATTTAAGGTGGGCGCCGTGTCGACTTCAAGTCGGAGCAGCGCGGATCCGGAGCGGGAGCGGCAAAAGCTTGGGCCAGGGGCGGCCAGGGGACCGGATCCTGAGTGTTTGCTCATCTCAGCGTGCAAGTGCCGCTCACCTTCACAGACGTCGCGGAAGGAGCATATCGTTGCATTCCACATGCAAGCTTACATGGACACATGCGCCAAGGCATTTACAGCCAAAGTCGGGGGAGGAGAAAGAAAGGCCTTTGAACTTGCCCACTGCCGGCCGCAAATCCCAGGTCTGAACGAAACGCGCATCCCAAAGCGCCACCCCAAACCGGGGCGCCGTGTGGTGGCGGACATCACCAGCTTCGCCGCCAAGGCCGCCGGGGCCCGCTCCTGGGAGTCGTACGGCTCCACCCCCAGCCCCCTGTGTTCTGTTTTTCAGACCATTGATCTCCCGCAACATTTGGCTCAAGGGCCCCTTTTGTAGAAACACAATCATCCGAGCGTGTGACAAAAGAGCCTCAGCAGGCCGCTTACAGGATTATCCACAAGACAATCCACCAGGGACAATCCATCCTCCAATCATCCATTACTGGCATATTGGACCTCAACTACCACAGGGTCCCAGTTCCCTCCAGGGATAGGCACCTGGAGCAGTGGGCCTCAATTAGTGGTAGCGGAGCAGCTTTTCCGCAGAAATCCAAGGGAAAATGTCATCCGATGGAGAAGGCTTCATGGAAGCCTATACAAGCATATCACAAAGCCGAGCTATACGGAGGAAACACTAAATTTATCGATGACCGCCAAGCAGCCGCCATCGTACGACGGAAAAGTCAGCTGGTTCAGGTACGAGGAACTCGTGGACGACTGGGTGACCATCACCACAGTAGAAGCATCCAAGCGAGGTCCATTGCTTGAGAGCAGACTCACTGGAGATGCTTACATGTACAAGGCTGTCCTCCAGAATGATCTTTTGCAAGATCCTGATGAAGGAGTCAACTATTTCAAGAACACGCTGAAGAAGTACTTTTTGAAAGGTGCGACCAACGTGTATCTGTGCAGACTCCTCAGTTTCTTCAATCGTCGGAGGCAGAACCAAGAGTTCCTCATTTTTACCTCAAAATTCGAAATCCTACTTATGAGACTGAAGGCAGCATGGATGGACTTGATGCCAATCTTTACGGCACAGTCTCCATCATTTCGACAGTCCGTACAGGACGCAAATGCAAGAACAATTGCTCGACATCAACAAGCAGCCGGTGTTCGAGCACCGCCTCCAGCCCTGCTCAATGAGGACGATCCGACAGTCCTCAGACAGTATATCCAAGGAATGCAGGACAGACAGCGGGACGCATTTCCCTTCGGGGATAATCTCATTGCACAGTTTTTCATTATTCAAAGTGAGTTGTCAGATCAGCAACGAGAAAGACTGACAAGTGCAATGTCATTGAGAAACATCTCACTTGAGAATTATTCCTATGAGATGCTGAAGACGCACTACCATGAACTCTTCATCACGACGAGGACATCGATCCAAGATCCATCCATCCGACCTCAAGGAGGCAGCCGAAGCAACACATTCTTCATCATCGAACAAGGTGAATACGAAGGAGAAGAAGGCTTCTGGGTTGAGGATGAAGAAGGACTTGAAGGATTCATGTCAAACAACGATGAAGAGACGTTCTGGGTCCTCGAGGAGAACGATGCGTTCATAGCAAGAAAAGTGTCGGGGCGGAACTTCAAGTTCAAGAAGAGAAAAGGAAAAGGAAAATCAGGAAACAAAAAGGGCAGTCACCAACGAGGTGGCTTTAAACCCTTCAGAAAAAGCGGTTCTGGCGGAAAGGCCAATATGGCCAACGAAAACTATGATCCCTACGACCAGGCATATTGGGGAAAAGGCAAAGGAAAGAAGGGAAAGAAAGGAAAATCAAAATTCCAATATCCCTATGATGGAAACAAAGGTTATCCATCCTATGAGAGTGGTAAAGGAAAGAGCGGACAGGAGAAAGGAAAATCCAAGACGTTCGCAGCCACCGCAGAAAAGACGGTGGAGCAGCCCGCCATCCAGCAGACTGCACCATCCATAGAGCCTACCTATGCCGGTTGGACAGACCAAGATTGGGATCAATCATGGACATGGAATGAACAAGGCTGGTACTCATCCCATGAGACATCCAGCATAGGACAAGCGTTAATGGCATTCCATGATGCATACGAGCATCCTGGGAAAAAGGCCATCCACGAGAAGCTGATCCAATCAGATACAGTTTCAGAACACAGTCTGTCCGTAACAACAAATCACAGCCTTCTGGCAACAAAGCTGATGGCGCCTGTCATCAACCCTCAGCACAACCCGACCTATGCGATTCTGGACAATGGATGTACCAGATCTATGGGCAGCTGGCATGCAATCCAGCGTTTTACCCAGGCAATCGAACCAATGAAGGACATCATCTCCTATGAGTACATCCCGGCCGAGACCAAGTTCACTTTTGCAAACGGAGAGACCGCCAGGGTAAATTGGACCCTGCATCTTCGATATCACACAAGAACAAGGAACTGTACCGATCCTTCTCAGCATCAGCCAGATGCGGAACCTCTACATGACCATCGAGCACACACCTCAATGTGACAAGATCACATGCAAGGCCTTTGGCATGAACCGTCAAGCAGTTCCAGTATCCGGTACAGGACATGCACTCGTCGATTTCGCTGGAGTTGCAAGAGTGAAAGCGCATGGAGAAATTGCTCACAAGGGCCTCATCAACTATGTCTATGACGATGATAACAGCATCAAGTTCCCCTCCGGGGATCTCACCAAGAGCGAAACTGTTTGTGCAGCAAAATCATCCGAGACAAAGGAGGACCTAGCAACTCCTAAGATCATTGGGTCTCAAAAGCAGGACCATTGGATCCTTGACAAGAAGAACAAGCAGCTCATCCGTGTGCACATCACGCCCTGAAAGGCGCTGTTCACACCAAATGGAGCCAAGGAATGTCCAATCAATCCTGATCACATTAGCCGAGAACGTACCACGAAAATCATTGATGCATCCGCAGGTGGAGATCCAGACATTTTGGAAGACAATTGGAGACTTACATCCCGGGCAAATAAACCAATGATTAACCTGTGGATAGGTAAGACCATTTTCACCTTCTCGGACAATTCGCTTAAGGACGAAGAAACAGGTTCAGGATCGGCAGCAGACAGGATCATCGACAAGAGGGGCCGGTCGACTATTGAGCCAGATCCTTTCGCACCATCCTCAGAAGAACCGACATCGCTTCCGCTTGCCCTAGGCAGAATCCACAAGCGATTGTCAAATCCCGAAGAGTTGAAGAAACTCCACCTGCAGCATCATCACATGACAACAGATCAATTTCGATTCAGAACCCGAGCACTTCATTTGCCGAAATCAACATTCGATCTGTTTGACAAGGTCCGAAGTGAGTGTGAAGTTTGCCAAGTGGCAAAACATGCACCATCACGAAGCAAGACAAGCGGACTTTGAGCGGACACCTTGGTGACATGACATTCATTGATCACTGTCAAGTTCCTCTTGGAACAGGAGAACACATCATTGTTTTTGTCATCCTGGATGGAGCAACAACATTACTCACTGCAGAGGCAGTGACAACTACGCAAGAAGTCGAGAACATCACTGTCCTCAGGAACTATTTTGACCAGTACCACTTGCAGCCCAAATCAGTTGTCGCAGATCAAGCCTTCATGACAGATACATGGGAACATTTCTATCAGTCCCTTGACATCACACCGATATCCTTGGGACCGAATACACCATGGCCAAATCGAGCTGAAGCAGCAGTTCGACTCCTGAAGGCACAACTCAAGATCATGCTAAGTTCCATCAAAGTAGGTACTGCACCTGCAACACTGAAGAAAGTGACATACAGGCAGCTAGTGAAGGCCGCTGCAACTGTCAGGAATCAGACCGTCACCTATGGGGGAGTAACACCATTGGAGCTCGCATTCGGAAGACGACCAGCAGATCTCATCCAACTCGATGTCGCAACACCAACTCATCCAAGGGACGACACATGGTCATGGAGATCATCAGGGAACAAGCACCTGATGTCATCCTTATGGCACCGGTCTGTGGACCATGGTCAAATATGCAGAACATCCAGCAAGACCAACAAAAGGTTGGGGAAAAGCGGAGACGCAAACTTCCCATGGTTCAATTTGTGGCATCCATTGCGCGTCATCAGTTGAAGCACAGAAGATACTTCATTATCGAAAATCCTCAGACATCCAGGATATGGTATCTGAAATGCATGCAACAATTGTTTTCAGACCCATCCGTGACCTGGGGAGATTTCCATTTCTGTGCATACGGACTAAAAGATCCTGAATCCGGGCTCAGAAGTCTCAAGCCCACGAGCTTGATGCACTGTTTACCTTCCGAGGTTATGAGACCGATCTTCAGAAGATGTAAAAATTTTCCAGCTCAGTCAAGCATGAACACCAACCCCTAGAGGGAAACGCTGGTACCTTCGGAAGCAGAACCAAACTGGCACAGGTGTATCCTTACCAGTTCTGTCAGGATCTTGCGCACATCCTCTTACGACACTTGCAGGTGAAACCGCTTGACAATGAGGTGTACCTCTTGGAGGACCTTTTTGAACCATTCACCATCAAGCAGGTTGATATCCTGAGAAAGGAGATGGAAGCCATTGACAAGGAGTTCAACATGACCAGCAGCAGTCTTGCAGTCAGAATCCAAGACCTGCCGTTCAACAAGGACGTTCAACCATTAGTAATGCAGGATCCGCTAGTTCAGAAATTCCAGAAGACGATGAAGCAGTACCCACCTGGGACTGAAATCGATATCTTCAGGCAAGATCCTAATGACTGGCGATGTCAGAACATGTGGAACGGCTGTAAGAAGTTGAGACAACTGTGCATCTCATCCACTCAGTATGATGCATGCGCCGCATACGTCCACACCATTGGCATCAATATGCCTATTACGTCACCACCGGACGATGCAATCATATCCTTCTGGCAGCCTGATCAGCTGAATAGAATTTGGGTCTTGCCTGCATCAAAATGCAATTGGGAGAAGTATGATCCGAAGACTTGGCATGCTGTGATGTTTTCTTCCGTTCATCAGTCGTTCACCGATGCGCCGGCCACCAAGCCGATGCCCATCGAGACGGATCCGTTGGATCCAACGGATGCACCTCAACAGCCTGACACGCAGCAGCCACCTGATCAACCGGACCATCCCATGCCTGATCCAAGACCACCAACACCTCCGGACGACAACATGTCAGATCCTCCTCCGGATCCTCCACATCAGCCTGATCATCCCATGCCGCCAGCACCACGCAGTGTGTCACCAGACAGTCCGGTGGATCCTCCACTACCG